GAGAGAGAGAGAGAGAGAGAGAGAGAGAGAGAGAGAGAGAGAGGAGAGAGCTAGGAAACCGTGGAAATTTCAGCAGTCTTTGGGATGGTATCCTCAGTCATCCGAGAGAGAGAGAAAAAAGAAAGAGAGAGAAGAGAGAGAGACTTCGAAGCAGGCCTCAACCATGGGGCCTCTGCCGAGCGTGGCGTTCTTGTTGCTGGAATGGGAGAGAAAGGCAAGAAGCGCCAATATCTCTGTACATCACAGCCCGAGGGTAGCCCCGGCCTCCACTGAAGCCTTTTTCTCTCTCTTTCTTCCCGTGGCGGAAGTTGTACTGCTTGAAAACGGAAGCGTCGGTGGGAAATATTGAGGATATGCCAATTCCCGAGGTGTTGTCGGAGGTTGGAGATCGGGGTACGGTACAAAGAACCCGATTGTGTGCGGAAAAGGTCAGAGGTAGAAGACCCGTCGTGTCTGGGGTGACGGCGCGTGCACTGCGTGATAAAATCTAGCGGGCTCTTGTCGAGAGTGCGTTGCACATAGGAGTGACTCAACGTCCTTGTTTCAGAGACTCACGTTCATTGTATTAGAGTCACAGACATGAGCAAGAGGCAAAGCATGGTGGACTGTAGTCTGTCTACATATCATTCCCGTAGTCTTTTTCTTTTTTCTATTTTTTTCCAACCTAGGGTTACCTCGCATAGCGTGTACAGGCGAGCGGAGTGACCTAGACTATCTGTCGTCGACTTTTATTGGCTTGCGGACCCTTCGGGTCCATTTTATTTTCGTATACCTCTTCTGGGTAGTAAGTTAGCTTGTGACCACGGGAATCGACCCCGTCAAGTGTTAGACTGGTCGTAGGACAGAAGAAGGTACTGGGCAGAGAGAACGGAACGGTTTTGAATGTGAAGACATCAACAACAACAACAACAGCAACATAGTTGACATCTGAATCTGCGTAAGCCCTTCAGAGGTCTGTAAGATTTGAACCCCGCCGAGTACAGACCCAACAAGGAGACCGCGGGCAGTCCCGATGGAGTAGTCGCCAGTGGGGAAGGAAGATGTTGGTGGAATATCGTTTTCGAACGTACCGACAAAAGTCTGCAGAGCGATGTGATCCAGAAACAAACGGCTAACTAACCGCACCACCAACGACAGGTATTTTTTCTTCAAACACACACAGCCGCACGCGCGACAGAGAAGAGTCTGCCTTTTTATGGTTCTCAGTCAGTACTTAATGCAGTATTTGTTGTGCGTCCACCTGGTATAATTGTTGTCAGCGGCGTAATGTAGGTTGTGTGTATCCCGTCGAAACAGCAGTACAATGGAGGCCAATGGTTGGAACGGTCCGTAGTAAATTGTGCACATGAACCCTTTGGTACTGATCGTCCGTGCACGTTCCTGAGGAGGAGCGGATGTAATATCTACTCTGCCCCTCCCTGCCTCGCAAAAACGCTCCACAAACTAACGCTCCACGCATGGTTCTCGGGAGATAAATGCAGTCGATTGCGGTGCAAACCAGCCACCTGCATCGTTGACCTGAACGCGACTCTTCGCGTCGTGTGGGGTGCGTCGTTGTTGACGACCCGTGGCCATCCTAAACTAAGAAGAGGGGTGGTTTGGTTGTTCGGTGAATCAATCGAACGGGGGAGATCTACGAACACAACATACAACAACGGACGCGTTCTCAACAACAGAGACGAGCTGTTGCACCAAACTTGCAGGAGGGGCGGACGGGGCCAGGAGGGATACCTCTTCCAACCCATACGAAAATCTATGGGCTTTCGAGAAACATCGGAGGAAGAAAAACAACTTGCTTTTAGAGAAGAAACCGGAGATCGCCTAGTCTAAAACCAAGTGAAAAAAAGGGAGTGGGGTCACTTTTGGTGGGGTCAAAATCGAATAAGGTCTGATAATATTTTGCAACAGAAAACTGAACCAAAAAAAGGCTTCAGAATATATCGCTGTCGTCGTTGGCTCGTACAACGGAAATGTAACGCGCGTATTTCCGCCGGTGCGTCCGCTGAGAGAACTTGAACCCAACCTGTGCTTGACCAGGATTGGCCGTTATTCCGGCCCTCAGATGCGTCAAGCTCGAGCGAGCGAAAGATGCGCGCGGCCCTCTTGCCGCAATCGTATGACGATTTCAACATGTTTTGCAGCTGTGCGCCGCGAAGGCCACCGTGCAAGGTGCTCTGCTCCTTCCCGCACGAGGAAGTCGCCCAGGGGCAAAGACATCAGGATTAAGTCATCGTATCGATGCGAAGCCGCATAGACCTCCCTTCCGACTTCCAACCCGCTTAACTTTGGGGATCAACTCGGAGTACCGCGGTCCCGATAACATTAGGAAAAAAAAAATCAGGGTCATCCGCGAAGCGTGCACCAAACCGTGATCTCAGGAATAGCCGCCACGGAAAGTGTGGGCGGCGAGAGGTTAAGAACTGTCTACGTCTCGGTAGTGTTGGACCTAACCCCATGCCACCAATACAGCACACGTATCGCCAGGGGAGCGATCGGCATGCCGTCGAAACGACCAAACAAAGTGCAGCAACAGCAGCAACAGCGATCACGCACAACGCGTGTGCTCTGCTGCTACTCTTTCGCATGGTTCGGTCCTCCTGTGCCGCCGCAGCGTGTTTCCCGCCGCCTTGATAGGAAAAAATTCAAGCCCAAGTCAACCCAAAGACTCGTGTCGGTGGTGTGGAGCAACGGGCTTGTCCTCCGCGACCTTCGGCGGAGAGAACAGCAGGCACCGCTGCCAACAACTCTATATTACGCGTTGCCGGAATGTGAAGCCCAGCTTTCTCTCCGTCTGCTGAATAAACATATCTAGTGGCAACGTCGCTTGCACAATCTGCCTACAACACAGTTTAGTTTCAACTCTATATTTCTTCTGAGGAGCTATGTTGCGGGGTGTCACAAAAGGTTAATCCGTCCGCGGTTCGTGCGCAACACTTTGTCGAGAAGAGGGCGCAGCGATTCTCTTGTCTTCAAATAAGCTGGCACTTGCTACAAGTACGAGCGGGAGATTCCCAGGGCGTATCACGCGGTGATTCGCCAACAACCTTGACCCCTTGAAGGCTTCGAGGATACCAACAGACCGCGGTATAGGGGCCGAACTGTGGGAAACACTTTCGGTCTTGTCACACAAACGCACTGGTACAAGCCGCCAACCTCTATGTGCAAACTATCATACAGCCAGCGTCCATTCACCCCATCTCTGAAATAATAGGGAAGAACAATCCTGCAAACTGGTAAAATTTACCAACGGAATCTTATGTAGCTACATACAAGCAAGACCGTGGGGTGCACCTAAAAAATCGTAACATTGCCACGATACACCGCAGACCGGTGAGCCAAACAGCTAATTATTTGCCATCCCATGGTTTCTGACTTACCCTCCCGTGCCGTGCCGTCTCTCACACTCATCACGCCAGAAAAAGGCCGCTGAACGCCCCCCCCCCTCCCCCCCCCGGAGACGACAACAGCACAATAAACAAAGCGCGCTTGCTCCTGACGACTCTCCCGACATTTATCGAGCCGCCGCCAAGCACACACCCAGCACGTCGACCCCACAAACTTATTCCGAGCAAGTGGCTCGTGTGCACAACACCGCTGCCCACTGCAACTTCTTCCTTGAAACCAAAAACTCTAAACGGCACCAACTACCTACCAAGGCGCGCGCCGCTACTTTTGATGCAGCCGAAAAAAAAAGGGGCGGCGGGTGTTAAAAAACACAACAAGCCCAAGCCCACGCCTGTGTCGCATGTATACAGCTCGTCATACGTTGACCTCTCGCGCCTTCGTCGTGTCGAAGCAGTTCACGGTTGCGCACCCCAGAATTTGCTCCGGCAGCTGCGAAACACAAAACAGAAAAAAATCGCCCGACAAGGAAAAAAGGGTTGTATGAGCTGGACGGCGTTTTTCGAACCGGGGCGCTGGCCAGGGTGACGCGACTACATGGAGCTCCTTGACCGACTACATAGAGCACGGTAGCAGAGGCAGCGTGTAACACGAGCAGCGAGCGAGCACAGCACATGGCCAAAGAGGTCACCATGGTGGTGAAGGGCGGCACAGTGGGAGGGGGAGGGCGGGGGGGAAAGACACACGCTCTGCTACTGTGGCCGCTGCTTGGTTTCTAAGTCTAAGTCTG